ACTTCCCAATTCCCTCAAGAAAGCCCTGGCCACCCTTGGCTGTCACTGTTGGAGGGCCTGCCTCCCTCACTGGACAAGAAGCCCCAGGAGTACAAGGACCCACCCAGCAATGAGCCTGTCTCAGCGTCCACTTCGTTCCCACTACTCCAAAAACCTGCAGAGGGTGGGCATATATTAGGCAGGTGTTCAGTCAACCAGGAAAACTCCAGAGAAAGGTAATAGGCTGGAAACTTCATCCTGGGAAGAATGATTCAAAGCACAGCTATTGTCTGTTTGGAAAAGGGAGGCCAGGAGCAGTTTTCTCAGCCACTTGCAAGCCCCTGAAGGATGCCAGGAAGATGTGTGGCTGGTGCTATTCACCAGGACTGGACCAGAACCAACAGATATGATTCCTAAGAAAGCTTCCTAATGATGCCAATTTATATGCTGCCTGTTCCTCCCTTGCTGGAAGGATTTTGTCCCCCCAAAGGTTTATGTATTTGAAAGACAGGGAGAGGAGGAGAGACAGACAGAGATCTTTCATCTGCTGGTTCATTCCCCAAATGGCTACAATAGCTGTGACTGTGCCAAGCCTAAAGTAAGAGACTGGAACTCCATCTGGGTCTTCCTTGTGGGCGGCAGGGTCCCAAGTACTTGGGCCATCTTCCTCAGCATTCCCAGGAACATTAGCAGGGAGCTGGACTGCACATGGAGCAACTGGGACTTGAATCAGCACATATGGTAGCTTAACCCACTGTGCCACAATGCCATCCTCTCTTGGAAGAATTCGAACTGAGGCCAGACAGCAAGCAGCCTGGGACCCCCCTTGGACCTCCATGACAGAGTAAAGCAGAGTGGCTGAAGAAAGCGAGGTCTCTGCAAATAGGCTGCAGGAGTGCCTACAGTTGCTCTGCTTGGGAGGAAGATTCCCTACTCTGCCTCAGTTTCCTTGTGGGACATCACAGCAGCGACGTCACGGGGCGGTTCTGAGGACTCAATGAGGTCATGCACAGAAAGTGCTAACAGTAGGACCTGGCACAGAGACAGACCCATTCATGCTAATTATTACTGCTTTTCTGCCCCCACGGAGTCAGACACTGCTGGCCGGCTCGCCCAACTAACACTCTCCACTCCCTTTTTCTCTAGCCACCTCCTCAGGAAAGGATATACATTTAAAGAAATATTCCACCTTCCTTGGAGCTGAGGGAAGCTATGGTATACATTTGTGGCCCATGAGAGGCAAATGCAATCTTCTGGGGATTCTGGGTGTGCTTAAGTGGTCCAACACAGAAATGTTCTCATTTGTCCTGCCTGGAGGTGCAGTAGCAACCTTGTGACCATGAGGGGCAAGATGAGAGAAACAAAGGGGTTGCAGCCCTGATACTACTCAGTCACTGAACTGTAGAAGTGAATGGGCAGTCAGGTTCCTACAGATCTGCTGTGAGCTGGGTGTTCTGTTCTTGAAGCTGAACGTATTTCTCACTCATGCACCCACAGTGACACAAATGGCTCAAGGCCAGGCCTATAGCTGGGAACCCCTATTTCCAGAAAGAAAAAAAAAAAAAAGTGGAAGGGAAGCGGGCATTTAGCCTGCTGGTTAAGTTGCCCAGGTCCCACATCAGTGAATCCATGTTCGAGTCCCGGATCTGGCTCCCGACTCCAGCTTCCTGCTAATGTACACCCTGAGAGGCAGAAGTGACAGCTCAAGCAGTTGGATTCCGTCACCCATGTGCGAGATCTGGATTGTGTTTATGACTCCTGGCTCTGGCCCTGGCCATTAGCAGTATTTGGGAAGTGAACCAGTGGATGGGAGCTTTTTGTTTGCCTGCCTTCAAAACACTAACACCTCCCTCAAGGCCTTTGACGACTGAACTATCTAGTGTTTATCAAACCCTGCTGATTTCCACATCACAATGGTAGAATTTTTCTATTTCTTTAACTCACTTTTTAACTTAAATATATTTAAAAATGCATCTATCACCACTAAAAATGAAAAATTATTATCTTTTGCTACAAAGAAAAGGGAACTAAAACCACAATAAGCATGTATAGGCTGATTATTTTGCAAGAATTAGGCTGGGTGGGGAAGAGAAGGAAAAAGCAAACATGATAAGAACAAACAATATATTCATGCATACGTCACTAAAAATTATCTGAGTTTGATGGATTCACAAAAATCCCTCATTTTTCTCTCCTTCTGGGGGAAGAAATACCAGGTGACCTGCAGTAGGGCAACGATGGGCTTTAGCTGAGCTGCGGCAGCCCCTTGGAAAAGGAACACATTCCGGTGTTCAGAGGTGAGTGGACGTGCCCGAGCTCTCCCAGCTGGTGGAGGAAGCAGGTCGGGCACCGCCTTATTCCCTCCTCTCATCGGGGCTTCCTCAGAGTGGCCTTCCCTGCTCACCTTGTCCACAATTCCCCGAGACCCCCATCTCTTCCTTGTAGTCTTCTCCATATGCTTTTTTTTTTTTTTTTTTTTTGACAGGCAGATTGGACAGTGAGAGAGAGAGAGACAGAGAGAAAGGTCTTCCTTTGCTGTTGGTTCACCCTCCAATGGCCGGCGTACCGCGCTGATCCGATGGCAGGAGCCAGGTGCTTCTCCTGGTCTCCCATGGGGTGCAGGGCCCAAGCACTTGGGCCATCCTCCACTGCACTCCCTGGCCACAGCGGAGAGCTGGCCTGGAAGAGGGGCAACTGGGACAGAATCCGGTGCTCCGACCGGGACTAGAACCCGGTGTGCCGGCGCCACAAGGTGGAGGATTAACCTAGTGAGCCGTGGCGCCGGCTTCCATATGCTTCTATTGTACATGCCCCATCCAATTTAGCCTACATTCATTTCTAAATCTGCTTATTGTTTCATCCTCCAGGAGAATATGGGCTCCCTTAGGGGACCGATTTTGTCTGATTTGCTCATTCCTGAATTTCCAGTGCCTGGAACCCAACAGTAGCATCCAGATGCGTATGCGCTGAAGGAAAGGAAGAAATGAATGAACGAACAAACAAAACCTCCTCCCCTTCTTCCTGGTTCCCGAAGGCCCACGCCAGCCCTCCTGCAGCTTCAAGTGCAATGTTAGGAGTTTACTTGGAATTTGGAATCTTTTTTACCACAGGAAAAAGGAATGTGCTAGATTAAAACAAGTATCTGAGCTCCACAGGGTATTAACAACTAAATAAAGAAATTAATGAGGAGAAAGGACAGGTCTTCCTTACAGAAGGATTTCAATTAATAAATGTAGAAGGGAAGCAGGACACAGAAAAATCACCACTAGGGTAACATCACAGTAATCACTGCTGCAGGCAAGACCTATCCACCAATGGACGCTAAAATTAGAGGGCGCCAAGTATGAGGCGAAACAGGATATTAGCACAGTCTCAAAGTATTTCCCTCAGAGATCTATAAATTACAAAGGGAAAATAGTGACTTAACAGCGGAGGAATGCTCCAGGTGAACACCACCAGTAACAGGAGGCAGTGCGTCCCAGCCCGGCCCCGACGTGATGCATGGTGGGGAGGACACGTGCCCTCCCTGTGATGTCCTTCCCAGCAGCACGTCACCTCAGTTGGGTCACGGGCAAACGTCAGACCAGCCCACACTGGGATTTCCACAAAAGCACAGAGCAGTCCTCTCCGAAGTGTCGGGGTCATGAACGACAAGAAAAGACAGAGCAATTGCTGCAGACTGGGTAAGATTAAGATGATACAACAATGATGTGCAGTGCAGGGGCCCCGTGTAGGATCTTAGAACACAAAAAGGACATCAGTGTAGAAACCCAATAGTGTGTAATTTAGTTACTAGCGCCAGGCTAGTGCTAACTTCCTGGTTTTGATCACTGTGCTACAGTTATGTAATCTGGCAACACAATGGGGACCTGGATGAAGGGAAGGTATGTGAACTCTGCACCATTTTTCCAACTTTTATGTAATTCTAAAATTACTTAAAAATTTTAAAAAAATATTAAAGAATTGTGCTAAGAAGCATCCATTGATGGAAATGTGGCTCTCAGAGACTGTCCTGCAAATACGCTGGAGCACACCTGTGGCAGGGTGAAGGCATGGGAGTCCCCAGCAGGAGCCACGACCAGGAGCTTCCAGGTAAGCTCACTTGGCTCCTACAGCTCCACAGAGCGGTCCCTGCGACTTGGCCAGCACCACCACCCGCGCCCTGGGTCTGGGTGCCGGCACCTCCTGCTCTCCCACTTTCCACACTGTCAGGATCTCCTGGGCTCCAGCATCTCCCAGCACTCCGCCAACAAAGGTTGGTGTCCTCATTCAGAAATGTCTCACTACAACAGGAAACGGCATGTGGCCCAGGGCCGCTCTGCTGCTTAGACGCCACTGCACAAACTCGAAAGAAGATGTCTACTAGCAAACCACCCCTCCCCTCAGTGTGGCCAGAAACCTAGGTGTAACATACAACCGTACGATTATTTTAAGTAGGTATTTACCATATGTACACATTTTAATTATGTCTAAGCACCTACACAATATTTTAACCTGCAGAGAACAGTACATCTAATGTGCTACACCTGGACTGTGGTGGCAGTGCCACACCTGCACACATGTGTCTAAACCCAAAGAACTGTACACTAAAGAATGAAATTTATGGCTTCCCAGCCTTTTGGCTAAGATTCCGTGGGGAGTGAACTTTGTTCTCTGTGAATTTTTAAACGGAATTAAAGGTGAAAAAGAAAAAGTGCAATACACAGATGCACGCTTACGAATGGAGACCTCCAAGACACTTCCTGCTAGGGCCCAGGAAACAAGTGTCAGAAACATCTGCTGAACGGGGGTCCTTGATCTTACACAGCAAACTAACACCTTCAGTGGTACACATCTGAGCAGGAATGATGGATGGGCAAAGGCTGGCCCTGACTCCTCACCTCTGGGGGACCATGTCAGCCTTCCGGGCAACAGGAAGGACTGTGAAAGAATTGTCTGTTTTCTCTAATGCTCTTTTGTATAATTTTTTTTTTTTTTTAAATCGAGGCTGTTTCAAGCAGACACAGGTCTACCGTACTCACCCTCAGTAGTTCTCAACACTAATGGTCCTGGAGGGTCCCTGGAGAGCCGACGTCAAAGACTGTACATCTGTGCAGAGGAAGAAAGAGATGTTACATCTTCAGCCACCTCTGCCTTCCTGCTGCAACACCCACCTGTCACTCATGTGTTCCCTCCCTCCACAAATGTTTCCTGAACACCTGCTGCACGCCAGTGTTCCCTCTTCAGGAAGCAGCCGGGGAGGAGGTCAGCAAAGTACGAGGGCAGGGAGTGCTCCGTGCCGTGTTGGGGTTGCTATTTCACACAGAGGGCTTGGGGGCCTTTCTGAGGGGATGACAGAGATCATCACCAACTACGGGATTAGCTGGCAAAGAGCCTTCCAGGCCACAGTGCAAAGGCCCTGAGGCGAGGGCACCAGAGGGACATCTAGTGCAGCCAGGAGGCCCTGTGGCTGCTGCAAGGTGAGTGAGGGGGCGAGTGGTGGGAACGGAGGGCAGGGGGGTGATGGGGCAGGTGGGGGCCTTTCTAAGAACAGTTTCTTTACACAACTCTGAGCAGAGGAACGGCACCGAAACTCACTTGTAACTTTCTATTATGAATTTAGGTTTCTGAGTCTTTTCTATGGTAGCTTTTGCTTAATGGCCATTTCATGGATGAATGAACATCTCGGGGCTGAGAAGTCGGAATTGCTCACCGCCACATTCCAGGGGCTGGCACTAAGAAAGATGAGCTCTGAAGGGACAACCTCTAGCCACCCTATGCGCGTGGCCATTCAGTAATAATTCCCATGTTCTCTGCACTGGTTCTGGGCCTCTTGTGCTCATTTCACATTCCCAACAACACCAACAATAACGCCCATGTTACAGATGAGGAAACAGAAGTACACAGCGGGCACCCATTAGCTGAGGTTGCACAGTCACAAGTGACCCATCACTGGACCAGGAAGCCAGCAACCTGGCTCCAATCTGCTCCTGACCTCTCAGCTAGACCACACTCTGTAACGATGGTCAGTGAAGGGAGAGCCAACTTCCCCAACACCATAACACCTGAATGCTGCCCAGGTGCCATGGCCAAGTTCAAATGCCTGTCAGCTCCTCCAGGATGCCTCCCAGGGAGGAGACCTGGCACCTTTCCCACTCAGCATACAGAACTGCTGTTGAAATGATCTCACTCATGGACTGGTGATGGAGGCAGTGCTGGACACATGACCCAGCCCTGGCCACTGTCCTGCCTTCCCTGCTCCTGACTTCAGATGGTCCAGAGTGGCCCTGGCACCAAAGCAAAGATGATCACAGTCAGAACCCACCAGCTCCAGCACAGGCACCGGGACTACGGGAGGAGATAGCTGATTTCCCTGGGCTGCTAAGCTGGTTGGGTCTGCTTGTGGAGCTGCCAGGGGCTGCATCAGAGCCTACCTGAAAACAAAGACCAGTATAGACGAATGCTGAGGTCTAGGAAACGGTGCTGGCAACCTCATTGGAGGCCTAGATCTAGCCATGCCTGAAGCCGTTAAGGGCAGAATTCCCCAAGAGGTGAGTCCTCACATGTCCTTTTCTACTTAAGCAGACTGTATTTCGATTTATTCACACAACCAAATGACTCTCAACGAACACTGAAGGGCAGAGGCAACTGCTGCTCTCGATGGTTCCCACAGCTCACCACTAGACCACTTGGGAAAGTACAAGATAAAATTAGAAACAGTTACTATACAAAGACACAACAAAAACACACACTCTAAAAACTCAGAAATGGCCTCCTGGGCAGTTGCCATTCCTAAGCTGGTCTATGAAGTCCTAACAATTTCGGTTTTCAAGATGCTTGGCAGGGCAGGAGGGAACCAGAGGTACCCAGAACATTTCCCTTTATCATCAGACTTGCCATTAAAAATTTCCTGGGATGATCAGGAAAGCCCCTGCAATAAAGCTCTTGTAAAATTTTAATAGCTGCCATTTAAATTGCAACGGAAATTGCTTTCCTGCCACTCCAATTTTTCTCCCTTTCTTTTCTAAAGTGATGCATATGGCTCTTTAAAGCAGATCAGTGCTGAAGCACAGGGGTGCCAAGTTTCTCCGAGCCAGTGACCTCCCTGCAGATTGCAGGACGGTGGGGAGAGCATCAAACCGGGGTCCTTCACACAGGAGGGAGGGAACTACCAAGAGGGTGTACAAATGGCAGCAAGGGGGCTAGGAGGTCAGATCAGTCAGGACCTCAACTATCTCAGAACTCTACCTCACTCCACCCAGGAAAGGAAGATGCCCTTGGAGTGGCCTCAGCAACCCAGCACAACCACGGCCTGTGGTCCATCAGCCATGCACTTTGCCCTTCGCTTTACTCGGCTGAGCATGGTTTACATGAGCAGCTGAAGGCTGGGGGAGGGAGGTATCCTGGTCAGACCCCTAGCCTGGATGTTTCCTCCCCGTGGCCTCATGGACTGGCTCTAGGAGAGACCCAAGCAGGGTCAACCAGAGTTGGCCCTGGGAATTTTGCTACAGTTACTGGAGGAAGAGATGGGGTGGATGGCTACCCTAGACTGGGAACAGGGGGCTGAGAATGAAGCCAGAGTTGAGATGGGAACAGCACAGAAGTGGAGAGCAGAGGGCTGCTGATGACAACACCCGAGTGGAGGTTTCAGTCATGCCGCCTCTGAGATCTTAGGTCCCTGAGCCTTTAATGTCCCTTTGCAGTTTAAATCAGTTTAGGTCAGAGACACTCAGTCATTCTGAAGAGAAATATCTAATGGAAGAGCAAAGACCTCAAAAATCAACCAAGTGTTCCTTCAAGTTTGGGTGAACATGACCCTTCCAAGAAGCTGACCAAAGCTGCATTATGTCTCTCCAAGAAAACACTGCACAAAATGACACAGGTTGACCATGTCAAAGACTGCCAGAACCCCATCTACGGACCCGGATGAAGACCCCTCTGATCTAGTCTGACCTTCCTACTCGAAGAAGGGAACTGTGGTTCTGATGCTTACGTGACTTGTCTGGGGGCAGACGTGGGCCCACAGAGCCCCAAGAGGTTTCACCAGAGCTTCCCAGAGTACAGCCTCTCCAAGGAAGACCGCAGAGGGCAAGGAGAGGCCGCAAGCAAGGCTCTGGACCCCCACACCTCCATCCCCAGAGCAGCTCCACTCTTTCCTCTTTTATAAAATAGGCTGTCAGGGAAATGTCTGCCGAAGTTCCACAAACTCCAGAATCAATGCACTGAGACTTAATCTTTACATTTCAGTGTACTTAAACATTAACGACCTTGGTTTGGATTCTCACTGAGACCCTGTAGGCATTACCGCCGTGGCTCTGGACTTCCCTGGGGCTGGCCAGGGGCTGCTCTCCTGACCCTCAATGCTGCGTGGCACACCCACACTTTTCCGTCCTGAACTGCTGGGCCGGCGTTTTCTAGTCCAGCCTTGCATTCCCATAGCGACTCACATGGAAGGGATCGTGCACTCGCACCTCTCCACTCCACTTTACTTGTTCCCCCTGAGGAAGAAGAGCTGGCTACTCTGGCTGGTCAGACTGTGGCAGCTGCTAGCAATGAGGAGGATTACTGGCCCCAAAGGCTAGGCCTACTAGCTCTTTTCCCTCCCTGTGCCAGAGACTGCAGGAAGGGCTCCTCTGTTCTCTGTCTGGAGTGGGACATACACCCTGGGCAGTGTCTACCCAATTTCTAAGAGGGTCTGGCCCCAAGGACCCTCTTGATCCAGTAGAGATGTGCTAGGGGGCAGTCAGGCCTTTCTCCTTAGAGCAATGGCTGTGTAAGTGGCTGATCCCAGCCCCGAGATTCCAGACTCACTGGGCCTTGTGCCGTAAGCCGCACTCCCCTTTCTAGACCCCTGAGCTTCCCGTCTGGGGCACCAGGGACTTACTCACCCACTAACAAACTGGCTCAATCACCCATCATTTAGAGAAGAGTCCCGCTACAGCCAGCCCCATCTGCCTGTGGAATAATGACTTGGGAAAATACCTGTTCATTCAACTGCCTCTACCCACACTCCTAAAAAGAAAAGCTGATTGGTGAAGAAAGCATCTTACCTAGGGAATATTCAGGCCCTCAGTAGCCGCTGAGATCATCTTGCAATTAATCATGTTTTCTCTTATGACCTATATTCTATTAATAACCCACACTAACAACCTGGCACCAGTTCTCTCATTGATGGATGCAGGCCACAGATATGACTAAAGCCTGGTCGCTGACTTCAAGGGTCTCTCTCCTTCAGTGCCAGCCTCCCCAAGAGGTACATGTATTGGTACGGGGACCTGACCACGGGGTGAGGAGACTTCACTGCAGCGGGGGGCCTCGTGGCTGTCCTGCCTCCAGCCTAGGCCAAGCAGCTCTGGCAGAGGGGCTTGCAGACGGACCTGTGCAGAGAAGCTGCTCGGGGAAAACAGCTCTGCGTGACCATTTCACATGCGGCAGATTGGCCAAAATGTCACAGTCTGACAGCACCAAATGTGCTGGAGTTCTGGAGTGAGGGGAACTCTCAGTCACTGCGGGTGGGAGTAGAAATTGGAACAAACATCTTTGGAGAACAATTTGGCAATTTCTTATAAAAATGAAGAGACCATAACCTTGGTGATGTGCTTTGTTTCACCCATAGATGAGGGCCCAGGGTTCCCTGCCCAGCTCCCAGACCCAGGTACGGCCTTGCAAATTCTCACTCTGCGTTTGAAGCACAAGGTTTGCTTTGGTTTTGCTGCATGCCAGGCACTGTTTTCAGTTCTTTAACTGTCAACTCATTTGACCCTCATAATGACCCACAAAGTAGGTTCTACTAAGATCTCTCCTGCCTCCCCACTTTTAAAAAATCTCACTAATTTTTTTTTTTTTTTAATTCTGTATTTGAGAGAGAGAGTTGAGGCCTGGGAACACAATCCAGGTCTTCATGTGGATGGTGGGAGCCCCACCCCTTAGGCCATCACCACTGCCTACCAGGTATGTATTAGCAGGAAGTGAGTCAGGAGCCAGAGCTTGGAATTAAATTCAGGTACTCCAATATGGGACATAGGTATCTTAACTGCTAGGTCAAATGCCTGCTTCCAGAACCCATTTTTAATGATCAGGAAACTGGGTAAAGCAAGGTAAGCTGTCCA